GTTTACATATACACACACCCAGGGCTGCCAGGAGTCAGGTGGGCAGACAGGCAAGTGAGACAGTCGGATTGGACAGAAGCAGCATGTGCTGACCCTCCTTCTATGGTGCCTTGGCTCCCTCATGCAAGAGAGCCATGACACTAGAGAAGGCAGGAGAGGTGGGAAGAGGGTCCAAATGGGTGTTATTTGTCCTCAGATGTGTCACTTGGTGTGATCCGCACCCCTGCACCCTCCTAAAGATGCCACAATGTGATAGCACTCACTCATTTTCATAAGTTAACCTTCCCTTCCCTGCCACATGAAACAGTGCAAACTTTTTCTGTCCCCAGAATAGGTCTTGGAGGTGCATAAGGGGCTGCAAGAAGAAAGGAAGATTTACCTCTCCTGGTTGCACTGACAGTAGCAGTTCCATGAATGGAACCATTCTCCTGGTGAGTGTCCAATGATTACTAAGACTCTTACAATACAGTGCAACAGCTTCCAAATATTAAGGGCTCTTTGCTTGCAATGCTGCACATATCTGCTTGGGATTATCTTATCTTCAGTCAGATATACTTCTGATTAAACATGATTGCTCTGTTCATAAAGTGTATAACTTGTCCAAGAGTGCAACCTGTAGCAGAACATGCAGGTTATCTGAGAACATCTGTAAAGAGTGAATCTTGTCCAAGAACATCCAATGAGCTTTTACTGCCAAGAAAGGATATGAAGACAAGTCCAACACTCTCTCCACCCCAATTGCTTATAGGGGACAAGAGAACAAGAGGACACCCTCTGCAGGCTTAAAAGAGTCATAATCATTATTTGTGTGTCCTCTTGTCCTCATGTCAGATATTTACCCCGCCATTAAGAATGCAGTTCTGTATTGACTGACTCTGCACTTCCTTAACTTGAACACAATATTTCTTGGCTCTACTCTTGCCTATGGTAAGACACAAATGACCTTGTTTAATGAGAAATTATAATTAAATGTTGCATCTCCTCTATGTTTTAAATAGCCATTTGTGAAGTAGTGGAAGGTCCTTTATGTGTTCCCAATTTGTCTGTCCTCTTTATGTTTTACTGTTTTATAAGGGAAATGCATTTTGTCATGTTAATGAATTGCAGCTCATTTTTTCATACAACAATCAGAAGTAATAGCTGTTTTTTCCCCTCTATAGTGGTGCATATGGTCCTACCCCTTGCCCTGTATCTTGTTATTATCTATTTCATTTCCCTCTACAAATGGGATACATGTTGAGTATATGGCTTGCCAATTACATTGCACAGATGGGCTGTGTAACTGATAACTTTCTATCCCTAATGATCACTATTTCTTTGGAGTAATAACTAAAGGATAAGTCAAGAGAAAAAATCCAGAGCAGTGAGACCTACCCCAAGGTGGCTGTGCTGATCCATGAGAAGGAAAAAAAAGTCCTACAATCACAGGTGGTCAGTATCAGAGGATCACCTTAAATGCTTGATGAAAAGTTCTGGAGAACTAGAAAGGTTGTATACCTAATGGCAGGGGTTGCCAACCTTTTTGACTCATGGAGCCCTTATTTCTATGGCAGAGCCCAGAGGCCTAACCTATGTCTTACAAGTTAATGGTGTTTAGGAGTATATATAAGAATATATTCTTATTCTTTAATTTCATTCAATTTGTATTTCTTTCATTTTCCTGGAGTGGCCATTGAGCACCTGGGAAGTGAATGTGGAGCCCTAAGGGCTCCTTGGAGCACAGGTTGAGAACTTCTGGTTTATGGCACATGGGCTGATCACAAAAAGATCTTGACAAACTATGAATCCCTCTGCCCTTTCTCTTTTCTCCTTATGAAATGGTATGGCTACCTTGGCTGCATCCACACTGCAGAAATAATCCAGTCTGACAACACTTTAATGGCCATGGCTCATTGCTAGAGAATCCTGGGAATTGTAGTTTGTTGTGGCACCAGAAAATAGTCTAGGGCAATAGAAATGTTGTTTGCATCCTCCACGAACTACAGCAACAAATACCATGAGGAATCTCCTGACACATTTATCCTGTCTGGAGGAGTTTGCTGTGATTCCGTTTACATTACTAGGTGTAAAAATTATGCCTGCACACCTGTTGTTGTTGTTGTTGTTGTTGTTGTGTTGTTGTATGCCTTCATGTCATTTCCAATTTATGGCAAGCCTAAGACAAACCTATCACAGGGTTTTCTTGGCAAGTTTCTCCAGAGGGGGTTTGCCATTGCCATCTCTGAGGCTGAGAGAGTGTTATTTCCCCAAGATCATCCAGTGAGTTTACATGGCTGAGCTGGGATTCGAGCCCCAGTTTCCAGAGTCATAGTCCAATGTTTAAACCACTACACCACACTGGCTAATTCACTTCTGCACTCTCTGTTTTAAATTGGAACAGAGGTTAATTGCATACCTCATCATCACAATATCTGGCTTACCCTTTGGATTTTTCTGTGTTCCCCATTTTTAAAATATTTTTGCCTGATAAAGAAAACTCAATAACTCAAAACACTTTTGGTATTTGAGTTAGTCTAAATAAAGGTACATTGTGTGGATTTATATACCATTTTTAGTTCCCAATGAGGTTAATGATATAAGCAAATGAAAAAGAAGTCACAATTAAACATTTCAGATAGGAAACACAAGTCCAACAGTCAACAGGCAAGAAGCCTAAGCAAATAGTAAGAGCAGCATGACAATTAAAACAGAGTTTTAAGATAATAAGAAAAGAAACAGGGGGAAAAAGGTAACAGCAATAAAACTTGCTCAGTTTTTTTAGTTTTAATGGTGGGAAAGAATTTTGTTTTGGTGGAACTTCTTCTTCCCAGATTGTTGGGAAGATATACAGAGAAACAGCAATCTACCAGATTGTATAACCTGCTGGATTATATATTTTCAGAAGAAGGGAACCAACCTCTTTCCTCCTAACTCCTCTTCATCCTTCTCCCTCTCAGAAATTCTTGGAAAATTTGCATGGGCCCTACTCAATTTCTATTTGGGTCTAATTTATCTGCCACCTCCTTCCTCTCCTTTTTTATCTAAGAATGGTAACTCAGGAATGTGGGACTGTATTGCCTGTCAGCTGTAGCCCACATAGCTGGGCAATAAAGCAGAGGTGCACAGTCCAACAACATTTGGAAGGCTACATTTCCTCTTCTGTAATTGTGAAAGTAGATGCCATCACATGAACATCAAACCATGAATGTCAAACCCAAATTTTAGAAAATGAATTACAGGGCAGGGGGCAGAAGAAGGCCCCTCACTTTTTGGGACAGCACCTTTAGCTATTGTTTTTAAAAAAGGTTATAGGAGGGGATATGGTTTGGCAAAAGTCGAGATAAATGGGGAGTCAGAGTGTTTGGCTTTAATGTAGGTTGACCTCGTTGTCCCCTTGCAATTCAAGGACAGTGAAAGATTTACCTTTTCCTCTTAACCCAAGCCACTTACCTATATCAAGTGGCTGATAGTATAGAAACCATACCATAGCTTTCCTACTGCCTTGAAAGGAAAGGCAATGTGTAGATATCTCTAAATTTACATTTTATGTAAGGATATTACTCAAATTTTACACAAAAGTAGGGAAATTCATAGCAATCATTCCTTCAGCCTTTTCAGCTTGCCTGCAGTGCACATAGATAATATTTTGCATTGCTCCATATGATGTTAAATTTTAATGCCATAATATATATTCACAGTGTAGTGGTTTCTCTGGGAACCACAGAGCCATGGATTCTTTAACTTTTTTAAAATGTGAAAATCTGTTCAATAATGTTATATTGCTACTGCTCCTAATGTAATTTCTTAGGTTTTTAAAAAAGTGACAGTAAGAAATGAGTAGTATGATGAATAGGAGATTTAAGAGTACAATCCTATATATGTCTAGGCAGAAGTCAGTTGCACTCATTGCAATGGGGCTTATTTGCAAGGTAGATAAATGTAAAATTGCAGCCATATACAATCCTATGCATCTTTATTCAAATATAAATTCTGCCCATTGGGACATATGCTTAGATAAACTGGGCTACAACTTTAGAACAGCTATTTGTAGCATTCCTTTACTATAAAAATATTTTCTACTTCCACAATATTGTTAAATAGTATCTTAACTATTTAGTCTACATTTACGGTTCTGTATGCTGTTCTGATTTGAAAGGTCAGGAGTGGACATTTATTTAATCTGTTCCCCAGTGAAAAAGAAAGCTTCCCAACACCCCCCCCCCTTTCCTGTAGGTACAGTGCTTGACTGAATATTTTTCATAGTCTATGTGCATCATAATTTCAAAATATTTGGCTCAGTCCTATCATAGCTTGGAAAGGTTACTTGCTTGGACTACAAAAGCAGGACTTCTTCCTTGGAAATTCCCATGGAATTTTGGGGGATGTAGTCCCAGAAATGACCTTTTCCAAATTCTGATTTTTAGCTTACAAATATCTGGAGGGAAGAGTTTATGTGAAGAATTAAAGTGTCCTGAGAATAGTTTTTTTTGTGGGTTTTTTTGGGCTGTGTGGCCATGTTCTAGAAGAGTTTCTTTCTGACGTTTCGCCAGCATCTGTGGCTAGCATCTTCAGAGAAAACTGAAATGGAAAAGCATGGGTGTATATATACTGTGAGACCCTGGGTAGGGAGGAGTGGTTCCCAGGTGAACTGTGTGTTGTTCTGTGTTGAATAGGTATTGTTCTGTGTTAATGGCATAGCTTCAGGATATGCAATCAAGGATATTGTCTGCTATTCCCATGTAAACTGTGTATTGTTCTGTGTTGAATAGGTGTTGTTCTGTTGTTAATGGCATGGCTTCCAGGGAGATGTCCTGAGAATCTAGGGAGTTTATCACATGGGGGAAATCCCATGCAGAAACGGGGTTTTAAATTGAAAAAAACCTGCAAAAGTGGGCAGATTTTCAGACAATGTTGCTGTTAAAATGGGGTTAACCCGAACGGAAAGTAGTCAGAAACTTTTGGAAAATCCAGAAAGTAAAAAGCAGTTTCTATTTGAAAATAGCTTTTTTTGATCTGTTAAGATACTGCTTCATCAGAGCCCACAGGTTAAAGATGAGGGAAAATGCATGCTCAACACAATTTACAACAGCTGTTTCTAATCTAGCCCCTGTCCTAATTTTTTGGACTTCAGCTCTCAGGGGCAGGAAAGTTAGGAAAGAAGGGTTAATATGTTTAGTTAAATATTAATAAGCTTTAAAAATCTAATTAAATACTCTTTATGTTAGGTGGGAAGAAAACTTAACTATGAAGTTAATGTTAAAATTGCAGTTTAAATTAAATGTTAATGCCAGCACTAAAGTCTTACCACAATAGGGATGAAAACTGGCATCCATGATTTTATTCCTCTCACCTCATCCCATCCATGACTTAACCATAGAGTAGGAGGAAATAGCTGCATGTCTTTTTGAAAAGAACATTTCTAACCACACACAAAAACTTCTCTTGGGGCTCATTCCCACTATGATTTAAACTGATTTGCTGATTGGTTTATATGTGCCTTGTTCACACTGGAAACAGTTTCAGACCCGACTGCATTCAGTCTGAGTCGTGGTGGAGCAAGGCAAATAATAATAATAATTTTAAAAAATTACTTTTTTCAAAGATGGATCTTTTGGTGGTTCTTTTCAAAAGAATTGATTTGCAAGCATGTTCAACAAGTGCCATCCCACCCCAGGTTTTGGGGAAATTTGGCATCCCCGCTTCTCAGAGCGATACTTCAGTGCCTTCTTTGGGGAGAAGGGTTTAGTGTGGTTTTAAGCTTTTCTTGAGTCATGTCCTGCATTTTCCTTGAAGGTCCTCCATGCTTGATAGTCCTTTGTGGTGAGGCCACCTGTTCACCCTGCCCCCACCTTTATCTCTCTATTTCTCTGTGGTCTATCTTTCTCTGTCCCCTCCCTCTCCATCCCACACTGTCCCATGCCCATTTCCCTCCCTCCTTCCTTCCTTCTCAGGGCAACCTGTCACATTGGCTTCCTTCCTTACCTGCTGCTGGAGTTGGCCTGAGAAGCAGGGTAGGTGTGGGAATAATGGTGGTGGGAGGAGAAAGGATGTCTGCCACTTGGCAACCCTTTGCAGGGAGTTGAGGAGGGCCGGTGGAAGGAGACACAGGAGTAGTGGCACTTGTGGGAATGTGTTCCTGGGGATCAGGGGTGAGTGGGTCAGGGAGCCATAGGAGGGAGTGGAGGCAGCCAAAAGAGGCTCAGGCTGCAGGGTGGGAGATTTTCTTGCTTTCCTTCTGGTCAAGTAGAGTGCCTTGGAAGCAGTGTGACCAGGCACATCTTCCTTTTCCAGGACACATCCTCCATTCCAGTCTTCTTTCCAAGGAGGAGTTCCCAAATGGCCCTCTGTTTTGGAGCAGGACAAAGGAGCATGGATTGACGCTTCTACTAGCAGTGTTTTGGAGCTTTTCTTGGGGCATGTCCTACATCTTTCTGGAGTATCCTCCATTTTGTGGTACCTGATCCTCCTTGGCAGTGAGGACCTGGCTTGAAAGATGACCCACTCCAAGGTGGCAGAATTCGGAGAGATAGCCATTTTGAGCAGGACTGAGAGGCATTCGTTGACATTCCTAGTGGTGTTTGGACTTTGGTTTTGGGACGTTCTCCATTTTTCCTGGATGGGCCTATATTTTTTGGGGGGGGACCTGGTCCTCCTAGCCCTCCCTTCCCCCTTCTCCCTCTTTCCTTGCATCATCAATGGCACATCATATAATTGACTTTTTTTAAAAAAAAATGCAGAATAGATCGATTGCAATAGATACTAAGCAGGCATTCTGTAGTGGCACAAATCTAGTGGGAATGACAATCATGTCAAAAAAAGACATGATGCATGGAATAAGGAAATAATTCGCTTCCATAGTGGGAACTACGAATTGGCCTGAATCGATTCAGTGACCTGATGTCAATGTGACTTGCAAACCAGTTTAAAGCACTTGCTTTCCTTTTATCTCTCCCTTATATCTAATTTTCTATCCCTCTACCCCACTGTAGTTTACTCATTTTCACTTGGATCCCAATCAATGGCTTTTGGTTGAGAACTTCAGGTTTTGGACCCTCTATGTGGTGTATGATGTAGAACACAGGAGGACAACTTGGGGCCTGTATGTATGGGCCAAGAGGCCCATTTTCCCCTGACCTGTTTAGATGGTGCTGGCCAACAGTCCTGAGCTGGGAATGGATAGTCTAGATACCATTTCAGAAGATTCAGCCCATCACTGGCCCAACTGGCCCTTAGCTCAGTTTTAAAAATACTCAGATGTTTGCAGTGTTACCCCAAAAGGTAGGGGCTTGTAAACTCCCAACAGAATTGCCAGTATCTCCTTTGAAATGTTGGGGAATATTAATTAGCTCAAAGGCTTGCAAGA